AGCATGAATTAGTCTTCAACTAAAAAGAACAACTTCATGCAATACTTCAAATAGAAAATATATATTATTCAACTACTTTGGATGAGTCAACTGATGTTACTGACTTGGTGCAGGTTCTGATACTTCATTTGGGTCATAACAGAAGATTTTCTTTGCTACAGAGTCACTCTCTTTGGGCACTCTTGTAAACAAAACGTGGGAAATAGGTATCTTCAATAACTTTCAAGATAAATGTCAAGAAGTTGGACTGAATTTGGTAAATTTAGTGAGTTTATGTACAGAAGGTACACCTTCCATGACAGGAGAATATGAAGGGTTTATTGCACATACAAAAAAGTATTAACAGATCCAGATGCTCTCATTTCGTTGTATCTTGAATTAGCAAAATCTCTGTGCCTAAAACTACTATTCTAAGTGACACTTTGCAATAAGTCAAAGTGTTGTTAACTATATTCATGCAAACTCAACATGGCATCATCAGTTTTGTAACATGCTAAAGTTGAATGATGAGGTATTCAGTGTGGATTTGCTGTATCATTCTGAAGTGCATTGGCTATCACAGGGACAGATGTTAGCCAAAATTTTCTCTCTGTGAGAACAGACAGTTAAATTTTATGAACAGAATTAGCAATATGAATTATTGAAAGAAGATTTTTATAGGAATGCTGCATTTCTGTGTTATAGTCAAATCAAAATGACTTGACTATTTCTTTGCAAGTTAAAAATTAAGTCTGTATATGATATGGCAAAAAAAAATACAAGCATTTTGAAAACTATCTTTTTTCAAAACATTTCTAAATTTCAGATAAACATTTTCCCCAGTTAGCAAAGATCATTGATGAGCAGGATGATATATGTGAATCATTTGAAGAATGTGTACCTGTTGGAGAATATAATGACAAGATTACTGACTTTGAGAATCATGACATCACACTCAAATTAGCTTTCAGCCTCACCTAGTTGACATCATGAAGGCATCTAAAGAACTACAGATGGAATTGATTGAACTCTTTAGTAGATGACATTTAAAGTCATTGTTTGATGCTAAGAAAGAGCCAATTGAAATATGGAAAAATGCAGTGGAATACCCACACCTTCAGCAACATGCCTGAAAAATGCTTTCTGCTTTTCAACCACTTAATGCTGAGAATCTGCATTCTCCTACTTAACCCAAATCAAGAACACCCTTAAGGTCACAAATGACTGATACCCATCTAGAGGATCAACTGAAACTTTGGACCTCCATGCTGCAACCAAATATTCAGATGCTTTCCAACAAAAAGCAGACACAACAAAGTCATTAAAAGGTTAGTTAACTTTAAAATTTTTGAAATTACTAAGTACATAGTAGTTAGATTTTTACAAAATAACATACATTTTTATGTATATCTAATTGAAGTTACTTTCCTTTTTTGGGGGGGGGGCCTTAGGCAATGGAGTTAATTGACTTGCCCAGGGTCACATAGCTAATAAGTGTCAAGTGTCTGAGGCTGGATTTGAACTCAAGTCCTCCTGACTTTAGGGACAGTGCTCTATCCACTGTGCCACCTAGCTGACCTCCATTTGAAGTTTCTTGAGTGCGGTCTTATTTGAATACAGCTAAGTATTAATGCAGTCTTCCAACATGAAAAGGTTTCCCATTTCTACATTAGATCCAGCAAGATCACAGGATATAAAACTAACCCATGAAAATGATTTGCAATTCTCATAAATATAAAAATGTAATTAAAAAGAGGCAGCAAGTTCTTGACATGTCAGACCACCATCACCACTATCACCATCACCATCTTGATGACTGTCTTCTCTCAGACCTAGATTGAAATAACCCAAAACCCTGAAGAAAGAGCCTTGGGAGTAGCAGTGCTTCCAGTTCAGTGCCAGCAGCCATTGTCTTGGGAAGCTACCTATTTGGAGATGCACCCTGGCATTTGTTCCTGGAGGTGCTACAGCCATGGCTGTTGAAGACCCAGAAGTAAAAGTTCTTATTACCAAAGTCAAGGTCCTTGGCACCATTAAAATATTTCAACCTCAGAAACAAATAAGGTTTAACATTGGAAATCACATTAAAGAAGAGGCATTAACATCTCCTATGTCTCTGCCTCTTAAGGACCGTGGGACTTTTCTATCTGACTTGCTCCTGGATACATCTTTTTTTGCCCATCAGAATGTGAGCACCTATGGAGAGCAATTTGGAACTATGCCTAAAGGGCTATAAAATTATGCATACCCCTTGAACCCAGCAATACCACTTCTAGGTCTGTATTCCAAAGAGCTCATAAAAGCAGGAAAAAGACCCACATATACAAAATATATTTATAGCAGCTATTTTTGTGGTGGCAAAGAATTGGAGACTGTGGGAATGCCCATCAAATGGGGCTGAACAAGTTTTGGTATATGAATGTCATGGACTTCAGGTTTTTTTTTTGTTTGTTTGTTTGTTTGTTTGTTTGTTTTTTTGGTGAGGCAGTTGGGGTTAAGTGACTTGGCCAGGGTCACACAGCTAGTAAGTGTTATGTGTCTGAGGCTGGATTTGAACTCAGGTCCTCAGGTCCAGACTTCAGGGCCAGTGCTCTATCCATTGCGCCACCTAGCTGCCCCAGAGCAGGTAGACTTCAAAAAAACCTAGAAAGACTTACATGAACTGATGCAGAATGAAATGAGCAGAGCCAGGAGAACGTTATATATAGTAATAGCCACATTGTGCGATGATTGATTTTGATAGACTTAGGTCTTCTCAGCAATGCAAGGATCTAAGACAACTTCAAAAGACTCATGATGGAAATTGCTATCCACATCCAGAGAAAGAACTCAGGAGTCTGAATGCAGATGGAAGCATACTATTTGCTCTCCTTTTCCTTCGTTGTTTTGTTTTATTGCTTCATTCTCATGGTTCCTCCCATTAGTTCTAATTGTTCTTTATGTCATGACTAATGAGAAAATATGCTTAATATGAATGTATAAGTAGAGCCAATATCACATTGCATGCCATCTTGGGAGGTGGGGGAGAGGAGTGGGAGAAGGAGAAAATTAAAAACTCAAAATCTTAAGAAAGTGAATGTTGAAAACTAAAAATAAATAAATTTTCAAGAAAAAAAATAATTGAGCACCTTGAGAGCAGAAACTATTGCACTTTTTTATTTATATTCCTAGCTCTTAGCACATTTGCATTAAGTGCTCTGTAAGTGCTTCCCCTGACCCCATGAATTAAAAAAAAAAACTATTTTCAATAATGACAAATACCATCAAATATTCAAGAATTTAACTAGAAATACACATGACTTGTAAAAAAACAACTCTAAAAGAATAATGACTGAAGGAAAGAAAACAAAGAAGACCTAAATAGAGAAATATATAGCATTCATGGATAGGGTGGGATTAATATAACAAAAATTACAATATATCCACAATTAATCTCTGTATTTAATGCAATTTGGGAAAGGAACTTAGCCTGTGACATTACTGCAATAGGGAACTCCTTTTGCCTATGCATGTCTACAACTTCTCTACTACTTACAGTCTTAGAGTTTCCCAGAGAGTTAAGTGACACTTGCCTAGGTTTAGAACACAGCTTGTATATCAGAGGTGAGACTTGAACTCAGATACTGGTTTCTAGGTAGCTTCCTGTCCACTATTCCTCTACTATTCAAGGCCAACTCCAGTATTGTCCATAAAGAAGAGAAGGAGGTGTATTCTCATATTTCCTCTTTAAGGTCATGTTTTCATTGTAATTGCATAGTGTTCAGATGCATTTTTGTTCTTTTTCTTTACATTGTTTTATTCTTTGTGTATGTTGTTTTCCTGATTCTGCTTCATAAATTTTGCTTCATTTAAAGTATTAATTCTTTCCATGTTCCCCACTCTCCTCCCACCACCAGTATTTATATTCTTTATTTCTTACTCCATTGTAATATCCCATCACATTTTTATACCACAGTTGATTTAGGCATTTCTCAATTGATGATCAAAGATTCCAGTTCTTTGTTGCCACACACATTTCAGTATATATGGAACTTTTCCTTTTATCTATGACCTTCTTGGGAAATAGATCTTGAGTGGTCAAGCTGAGAAACAAATGCCTTTTCTATTCCACCAGGCTAAGACTATGCGCTATGCTTTTCTCTGTATTTGCAACACTTAATATAGAGTTTTGTATATAGTAAGCACTCAATACGTTTTTTTTTCAATCAGGCATTTATTAATCTACTCGATCCTGGCACTTAGCTAGACACTGGGATACAAAGATAAAAATAAAATAATCTTTGCCTTAGGGAACTTAAATTCCACTAAAGGAAAAGACATGTACATCTGTAAGTATGTATAAAATATATACCAACAAAAAGGTAGCCTGAGAGGAGAAGGCACTGGCTGTCAGCCGAGCTTAATTGAATCACCATGCTGTGATTTTTTTTTTCTTTAAAAATGGAAAGATTGAGACAGGTAGGTGGCGCAGTGGATAGAGCACTGGCCCTGAAATCAGGAGGACCTGAGTTCAAATCCAGCCTCAGACCAAACACTTGATACTTACTAGCTGTGTGACCCTGGGCAAGTCACTTAACCCCAATTTTCTTAAATAAATAAATAAGGAAAGTTTGAACATTCTCTATGTGTAAAGAAAAAATTTGCATTTTCCAAAAAATGATCTACATTTCTAGATTTTGATCTTGTCAGCAGCTATTCTTGAGAGCAAAATAGGAAGACAAAGACAAAGAAAAAAAATCCACCATTTCTCCTTGCCCATCTGAAAAACTTTTTCCTTTATGTAGTAAATAGATGAATTGTTAGGGCTGTTTATGTAATATAGAATCATCTAGAGATATTTTATGTATTTCAGGACTACACTTTAAGTAAATATGCTTTTGTCTAGTTTAAATAAACAATTTAGATATTTCAGGATTATAAACTTTAAAGTTAAACCTGCAACCAGGTAATTTTTTGTGACAGAATATCCTGGTATTTGACATTATTTGTATTTTTCATTTAGAAACATATTTCCATTACAGGAATTGAATTTTGCGCACCGGAGCTATGCACTGAACACCAGTTTGAATGTAAGTACAAAAATCCATATTTTTTGACATCTAGATTTAAAATGTTAAAATATACATATATTTCAGCATCAATTAATATAGGAAGTTAGTTCTATGATCACTCCATACTTAGGTCTTTTTTTAATTTAGTATTTTATTTTTTTCCCTAATTACATGTAAAAACAATTTTTAACATTCTTTTTTAAAAATTTTGAGTTCTAAATTTTCTCTATCCTCTCCTTCCTCATTGAGAAGGCATGCAATTTCATGTAGGTTATACATGTGCAGTCATGCAAAATATTTCCATATCAGTCATGTTGTGAAAGAAAGCCCAGACCAAAAAAAAAAACCCTAAGGAAAATAAAGTTTAAAAAAGTATGCATTGATATGTATTCAGACTCCATCAGTTCTTTCTCTGGACGTAGATAGCATTTTTCATCATAAGTCCTTCGGAATAATCTTGGATCATTGTTCCATACTCATGTCTTTAGGAAAATCTGAATTCTTAGATTGTTAAGAAATAAAATATTCAGCCCAGTTTGCTCCAAGATACATATCCTCCCTGTCCATAGCAGAGTATTCTACTTTAAACCTGTGGCACTTGTTCCTTTTCATAGCTTTTATGTTCTAGGGAATTTTCTCTAATTTGTCCTTGTGCTACCATATAACTGTAGTTCTCTAAGTCTTATCACAGCTTTGCTCATGGAAATTCCAGAGGACTACGACAAGGGTGTGTTGTGAGGAAAACTTTATATTATAAAGGGCTATATAGAAAAGAGAATTGTTTATTATTATTTTTCAATACGTTGTTTTATATGTGATTTAGCAGGATATTTTTACATTGTTTCTGAAGTAACTCAGTAAAATTTTTCTGCTAACAGAGTAATTATTCATTTTGTCTAGGGCTAAATAGGAGAGTTTGGAGTCAGTGGAAGGAGAGTACCCTTGCTTTTGTTACAAGAACTGATTGCTTGCATAGTCTTAAGGACTCTCTCCAAACATTCCTGTAGTGTAGGGTACCCTTTGAAGTGGAGGTATTGGGGAAGCTAGGTGGCACAGTGGATAGCTCTGGCCTTGGAATTAGGAGGACCTGAGTTCAAATCCAGCCTTAGACACTTGACATTTACTAGCTGTGTGACCCTGAGCAAGTCACTTAACCCCAATTGCCTCACCCAAAAAAATAAATAAATAAATAAATAAAGTGAAGGTATTTATTTTTCAGTTGAAAAAGGGCAAAGTAACCCTTTCAGAATTTTTATTTACTTTCTGAGTTTAAACTTACTTTATTGATTACTGGCACATAAATAAATGCAGAAGAAATTGTCAATGTGGGGACAATAATGGATATATGTCAATCAATTGTGATATCTTTTTTTTTTTAAGGAAGTTGGGGTTAAGTGACTTGCCCAGGATCACACAGCTAGTAAGCGTCAAGTGTTTGGTCTGAGGCCGGATTTGAACTCAGGATCAAATGTGATATCTTATATTTGTCTTAAGTTCTGGGTCTGGCACCCAGTAGCCAAGGAAGTTTTTGGTATTAAGTGTGATATTATTTGTCTCCTTGATGACAGTTTGGGGAATCTTAAAAATATATTTCTTCCTTAGGTATATTTATATATGTTAAGTTAATTTATAAAATGATTTAGAGTTATTATTTATGTAATTTTTACTAAATTTTGTCCTATTAGGAAGTGGTCATAGTCAGTGCCAAAAGGACGCCTGTTGGATCTTTTCTAGGATCTCTTTCCTCACTTCCAGCTACTAAACTTGGTTCCATAGCAATTCAAGGAGCAATTGAAGCAGCAGGTATGTAACTAATTTGTTCTGGGTTGGGCGGCTGGGCGATGGAGGGAGATTGTGTCATAGTGGATGGACTACTGAGCATAAAGTAAGAAGTAATGAAATAGGGAGTTAAAATCTAACCTCAGACACTCGCTAGCTGTGTGACTAGGCAAATCACTTAACTTTTGTCTGTCTTAGTTTCCTCAGCTGTAACATGGGGATAATAATTACATCTACCTCACAGGTTGTTGTAAGGATCAAATGAAGTCATATTTGTAAAGTGCTGAGCATAGTGCCTGGTTACATAGTTAATGCTTAATAAATATGTATGCCCCTTCTTTCCTCCACTCCCTTTCCTTAATAAATATTATCGAGTCTTTGCTAAATACATAATGCTCTGGCAGGTCCTATTAGGAAAAAAGGAAGTAATGAAATGCAGTCTGTGTCTCTAGGATTTATAAGCTAGATACGTACAAAATGTTAAATAATGAGACGATATATAATAAATGCTGCATGATGTTGTTATAACAGGGACAGTTAGATAGAGTGCATTTAGACTGGAAAGGATCTAGAGGTTGACCAGACATCTGTTTCATGGAGTTATTGAAGGAAGAGAGGAACAAGTAAGTCTAGGCAGTTGGGATCATAAACCTACACTAGGAGGCTGAGGAACAAAGGCCAAAGACTCTGGGACATTGGATGGAGGCAGTGATTCTCAGAACAACATCTTCCAGCTCAAGACAACCTGGATGGTCTACAGGAGAGGTCTGTTGTGCCAGGCTGGAAGAGAAGCGCAGTTCAGTGTGGACCACTCCTGGCCTAGACCAGACCTCAGCAAACCTGGTGAAAGCTTCAGGGGACTGAATCAAGGGGAGCTGTGGTAGTTTCCAGACTTCTCAACCCACAAACGCCAAAGATAGCTTTTAGAAGTTCAGTGGGAAAGGTCTGTCAGACCTGAGTGAGAGAGAAGCACAGTCTTGTCCTGGCCCTAGCATAGCCCCAGGCTGGTGGCCACAGCAGCAGTGGCTGCTCCTGGAGCTCTCAGCCCACAGACAGTAAGGGGATCAAACAGCTGATCAGAAGGAGATTACAGGGATCTCTTTGCTGGCACTGAGGCAGGATTCTGTTGCTTTGCCCATACTTGAATCTGGTTGCAGGCCTGGGTGGCAGTCCTGGCGTGAGGAGGAGCACTGGCACAGAGCTTTTGGCAGCAGTGGGGAGGGAACCCTTCTCACAGTTCCAGGGCAGAAAAGAGTGCTTGTGGTCACTTACAGACCAGAGCACAAGGATAAGAGTAAACACCTCTCTTTAGATCATACCACCTTGGAAGAACTGAAAACTTAACAGGTCTCTAGAAGTATCTCTGAAAATAGCTGCACAAAACCCTGAAGCTTGGAACAGTACACCCTGTACACTGGAAGCAGAGCCTACCTTAGCAAAGAGTTAAAAAGTCAAGTAATTGGCTGGAAAGATGAGCAAACAGTGCCGAAAAGAGTCAGACCATAGAATCTTATTTTGGTGACAAGGAAGATCAAAACATATGATCAGAAGAAGACAACGAAGTCAAAGCTCCTACATCCAAAGTCTCCAAGAAAAATAGGAATTGGTCTCAGGCCATGGAAGAGCTCCAAAAGGATTTTGAGAGGCAAGTAAAGTAAGTAGAGGAAAAATTGGAAAGAGAAATGAGAGTGATGCAAGAAAATTATGAAAAACAAGTCAATAGCTTGTTAAAGGTGACCCAAAAAATTACTGAAGAGAATAACACCTTAAAAAATAGACTAGACCAAACAGCAAAAGAGGTCCAAAAAGCTAATGAGGAGAAGAATGCCTTAAAAAGCAGAATTGACCAGATGAAAAAGGAAGTCCAAAACCTCACTGAGGAAAATAATTCCTTAAAAATTAGAATGGAGCAAATGGAAGATAATTGAGAAATTAACTATGAGAAATCAAGAAACAATAAAACCAAAACCAAAGAATGAAAAAATGGAAGACAATGTGAAATATCTCATTGGAAAAACAAATGGCCTGGAAAACAGATTCAGGAGAGATCATTTAAAAATAATTGAACTAATTGAAAACTATGTTCAAAAAAAGAGTCTAGACATCGTCTTTCAAGAAATTATCAAGGAAAACTGCCACAATATTCTAGAACCAGAGGGTAAAATAAAAATTGAAAGAATCCACTGATCCCTCCTGAAAGAGATCCTAAAAGGAAAACTCCCAGGAATATTATAGCCAAATTCTGGAGTTCCCAGGTCAAGGAGAAAACATTGCAAGCAGCCAAAAAGAAACAATTCAAGTATCGTGGAAACACAATCAGGATAACACAAGATTTAGCAACTTCTACATGAAGGGACCGGAGGGTTTGGAATATGATATTCCAGAGGTCAAAGGAACTAGGATTAAAACTAAGAATCACCTGCCCAGCAAAACTGGAGTGTAATCAATAAGAGGGAAAAATTGACAGTCAGTGACATAGAGGAATTTAATGCATTCTTGAGAAAAAACCAGAGCTAAATAGAAAAATTGACTTTCAAATACAAGACTCAGGAGAAGCATGAAAAGATAAACAGGAAAGAGGAATCATAAGGGTCTTACTAAAGTTGAACTGTTTACGTTCCTACATGGAAGGATGATATTTACAACTCATGAGACCTTTCTCAATATTAGGGTGGTTGGAGGATATAGATAGAGAGGGCACAGGATGAGTTGAATATGAAGGGATGATATCTAAAAAATAAAATTAAGGGGTGAGAGAGGATTGTACTGGGAGAGGTAGAAAGAGAGAGGTAGAATGCGGTAAATTATCTCACATAAAAGGCAAGAAAAAGCTTTTACGGTGGAGGGGAAGAAGGGGAAGGTGAGAGGGAATTGAGTGAACTTTATTCTCATTGGATTTGACTGAAGGAGGGAATAACATACATACTCAATTGGGTATAGAAATCTATCTTACCCTACAGGATAGTAGGGGTGAAGGGGATAAGAGCTGGAGAGATGATAGAGGGGAGGGGATAATCAGAAGCAAACACTTTTGAGGAGGGGCAGGGACAAAGGAGAGAATAGAATAAATGGGAGGTGGGATAGGATGAAGGGAAATATGGTTAGTCTTTCATAACATGGCTATTATGGAAGTGTTTTGCATCACTGCACACATATAACCTATATCGAATTGCTTGCCTTCTCAGTGACGGGAAGGAAGAGGGGAGAGAATGTGGAAATCAAAGTTTTAAAAACGAATTGTTTCTCTGTGCAACTGGGAAATAAGATGCACAGGCAATGGGGTATAGAAATCTATCTTACCCTTTAGGAAAATAGAAGGGGAAGAGAATAAGAGAAGGGAGGGGTGATGATAAGAGAAGGGAGGGAGTGATAGAAGGGAAAGCAGATTGGGGGAAGGGGTAATCAGAATGCATGCCTTACTGGGGTGGGGGAGGGGAGGAATAGGATAGGAAGAAAATTTGAAACTCAAAATCTTGTGGAAGTGAATGTTGAAAACTAAAAATAAATAAATTGGAAAAAAGGAAAGTAATAAAATATTTAAATTAATTAAGTGTCTTTTATTTTGATGAAGATGTGTTTTAGGCTACTTTGGGGATAAAACTTGAAACTGAATAAATGAGAAGTAGTACTAAGAACAAATGGTGCTAAGTACTTCACTATGTGATGTGGTAATTATTCATTGAATTGTATAAAATGCTGATATGCTAATTGTTTTGCTTTAAGGAATACCCAAGGAAGAAATCAAAGAAGCATATATGGGCAATGTTCTACAGGGGGGTGAAGGACAAGCCCCAGCCAGGCAGGCCGTGCTTGGAGCAGGTGCGATTAGTTTTTTGGTTACTTTTCCTGGCCTTTCTTAAGTTAGTTTTCCTGAGAAGGCAATTGGTAAAGTGGACAAAGAGCTGTTCTTAGAGACAGGAAGACTCATTTTCAAGTGCCATATCTGCCACATACTTTCTGTGAGAGCCTGCATAAGTCACTCAAACTCTTAGGGGTGTAAGCAACTCTCCAAGACTGCAACTTGTGGAACGGTTAGCAGTCATTGTTGGTGGAGGGCATTTCTTACAATAAGAAAATCATGGGCTGGTTGTTTTTTTTAAAGGTTTTTAAGTTTAGAAAATCTTAAAATTATAATAGGGCAAGCTGTTATCTAAATGGATATTTGTAATGTAAAGTTCATTATACTCTGATGGAATATTGTTGGTGAAGTATTATGGTATAATGAAAAAGAAAAGAATGAAGAATCCTGCTCTTTAGTCCTGTCTCTACTCCAAGTTTTCTGTGTGACCGTAGGCTATATATAATTCAGCCTCTCTGGGCTTCAGTTCCATTCTATCTATAATGAGGAGTTTGGATTAGATATTCTTGGGTTTGCGTGGGGTGTTTGTTCTATAGTAGACTGCTCAGTTTATCTAGAACTAAAATTGCATGCTGGCAGTGCTGGAAGTTCAGCTTTATTCCACCTACATAATTAGTAGTAATACTTAATTGGGAAAACATATGAGTGATTTGGCAGAATGATTTAATTATCCTTCTTCTAGGTTTACCTATCTCCACTCCATGCACCACTGTCAATAAAGTTTGTGCATCAGGAATGAAATCTATTATGATGGCAGCTCAGAACCTAATGTGTGGCCATCAGGTAAGAGGATTCTTACTTTTTTGTTTCATAATTGAAATAACAGAGGCATCAGAGTGAGAATCTGTTATTAATACAGCAGAGCTGGCATCAGAGTCAGAAAACCATCTGTGTGAGCCCGGGCAAGGCATTTAGCCTCTCTTTGCCCCAGACAGCCCTATCGATTTTACATTGCAGAGTAATGTCCCATGACATTGGTAGAGTGCATTTCCTCACTTGGGAATTCTGTATACCAATGCAGTCACAGGTCGAGATATAAAAATAAGAGAACACTGTAGCTACTGTTAAAAGATGGTGAACATTTAAAACTCTTATAAACAAATACATTTGCCAAGACTGAACAAGATTCTTCAGTACAGAGCTCGCTTGGCTTCCAGGGTAGTGCTTTTTCTACCACAGTGTTAGAGCCTTTCCCAGATTTATACAGTCAGTATGTATCAGGTGGGACTGGAACCTGGGTGTACTGAGGGTTCAAGGCCAATTTTCTAGGTTTTATGCCATGGCTGCCTTTGTACAAGGAATTTAATGACTGACCTCTTCTTTGTGTAACTGGTTAATTATCTATGACTGTGAGAAAAGTTTGCCAGGTATTTTTTTTATGTAGGTAATTGATATATGGTTTTATATCTTTTTTCCCCACATTTTCCAAATAACCTTTATCGCTTTACTTAGTGTATGCCTCCTTTACTACTACTACTACTTGTTTTTTTGTTTTTTTTTTTTTTTGTTAGAGTGCCAAAGACCTTGGAACTCTTGGGAATATGTTGTCTGGAATTTACGTTTGTTGTTTCCAGTTGCTACCAAGGTCCATGCTATGAGTTTCTGACCACCCTGGGACTTTCTTGTGGAAGCTCTCTACTCTTTTTTTTTTTTTAATTTTTTTGTGATTACTTTATTTATTCATTTATTTAAAAAAATTTTCCACAGTTACATATAAAAGCAATTTTTAACATTTGTTTTTTAAAACTTTAAGTTCCAAATTCTCTCCCTTCCTCCCTTCCCACCCCCCCCATTGAGAAGGCAAGCAGCTTGATATAGGTTATATGCAAAACATATCCATAATAGTCATGTTATGAAAGAAAACATAGACCAAAAAAAACTTCAAAAAAATAATTTAAAGAAAGTATGCTTTGTTCAGACACCATCAGTTCTTTCTCTTGAGGTGGATCGCGTTTTTCATCATAAGTCCTTCAGAGTTGTCTTGGATCGTTGTATTACTGAGAATAGCCAAGTCATTCACAGCTGATCATCTTACAGTAATGCAGTTACTTTGTACATAGTACATGTCACTTTGCATCGGCCTGTGCAAGTCTTCCCAGGTTTTTCTGAGAGCGTCCTGCTCAACATTTCTTACAGTACAATAGTATTCCATCATAATCACATACCATTTGTTCAGCCATTCCTCAGTTGATGGACATCTCCTCAATTTCTAATTCTTTGCCCCCAGAAATGAACTGCTATAAAAATTTTTGTACATATAGGCCCTTTCCCTCCCTTTTTTTAAAATCTCTGTTGAGATACAATACAGTGGTATTGCTAGGTCAAAGGGTATGCGTGGTTTTATAGCCCTTTGAACGTAGTTCCAAATCACTCTATAGAACAGTTGAATCAGTTCACAACTCCACCAACAGTGCATTAAGTCTCATTTTTCCTACATACTGCCTCCAACATTTGCCATTTACCTTTTCTGTCCTTTTAGCCAATCTAATAGGTAAGAGGTGGTACCTCAGAATTGTTTTAATTCGCATTTCTCTAATCAATAGTGAGGTAAAGTATCTTTTTCACATGGCTATAGATAGCTTTGATTACTTCACCTGAAAACTGATCATATCTTTTCATCATTTATCAATTGGGGAATGGCTCTTATTTTTTTTTTTATAAATTTGACTCAGTTCTCTATATGTTTGAGAAATCAGGCCTTTATCAGAGAAACTTGCTCCAAAAATTTTTTTCACAGTTACTATTGCTAGCTACATTTCCCTCCATTCTATCCCTCACCTCCCCTGGGTTTGTTCTATTCTCTCTCTCCTTTCACACTGTCCCTCCTCAAAAATGTTTTGCTTCTGACGACCCCTCTTCCAATCTGCCCTCCTTTCTATCACACTCCTCTTCTCTTATCCCCTTCCTCTCCTACTTTCCTGTAGGGTAAGATAGATTTCTGTACCCAATTGAGTGTGTATGGTAATTCCCTCTTTGAGTCAATTTTGATGGAAATAAGGTTCACTCACTTCTCCCCTTCCCCTCCACTATACTAGTTTTTTCTTGCTTCTTTTATGTGAGATAATTTACCTCATTCTACCTCTCCCTTTTCACTTTTTCCCAGTAAATCCCTCTCTGGCCCCTTAATTTTATTTTTTAGATATCATCCCTTCATATTCAACTCACACCTGTACCCTCTGATTATATATACTCCTTCTAACTACCCTAATAATGAGAAAGGTCTTGAGTTACAAATATCATCTTCCCATATAGGAATATAAACAGTTTAACCTTATTAAGTCCTTTATGATTTCCCTTTCCTATTTACCTTTTTGTGCTTCTCTTGAGTCTTGCATTTGAAAGTCACATTTTCTATTCAGCTCTGATTTTTCATCAAGAATGCATTAAATCCTTTTACATCATTGAATGTAAATTTTTTTCTCCTCATTGATTACACTCATTTTTGCAGGGTAGGTGATTCTTAGTTTTAATCCTACCTCCTTTGACCTCAAGAATATCATATTCCAAGCCCCCTAATCCTTTAATGTAGAAGCTACTAGATCTTGTGTTATCCTGACTGTGGTTCCACATACTTGAATTGTTTCTTTCTGGTTGCTTGCAATATTTTCTCCTTGATCTGGGAACTCTGGAATTTGGCTATAATATTCCTAGAAGTTTTCATTTTTGGGTCTCTTTCAGGAGGTCATCAATGGATTCTTTCAATGACTATTTTACCCTCTGTATCTAAGATATCAGGGTGGTTTTCCTTGATAATTTCTTGAAAAATGATGTCTTGGCTCTTTTTTTTGATCATGGTTTTCAGGTAGTCCAATAATTTTTAAATTATCTCTCTTGGATCTATTTTCCAGGTCATTTGTTTTTCCAGTGAGATATTTCATATTGTCTTCCATTTTTTCATTCTTCGGTTTTGTTTTATTGTTTCTTGATTTCTTATAAATCAAGCTTCCATTTGCCCCATTCTAATTTTTTTCCATGTTGTATTACATTTTTATTTATTTTGTTAAATATTTTACAATTACATTTTTCTTATTAATTTATTTATTTTTAGTTTTCAACATCCATTTCCACAAGTTTTTAAGTTCCAGATTTTCTCCCCTTCTTGCCCCTTCCCCACCCCAAGATGGCATACATTCTGAATACCACTTCTTCCAATCTGTCCTCCCTTCTATCATCACCCCCCTTCTCTTATCCCTTTCCCCTTCTGTTTTACTGTAGGGCAGGATAGATTTCTGTACCCTATTGCCTGTATATCTTATTTCCCAGTTGCATGTAAGAAGAATTTTTAATATTTGTTTTTAAAACTTTGGGTTCCAAATTCTCTTGCTTCTTCCCTCCTCACCCACCTTCATTGAGAAGGCAGGCAACTCGATACAGGTTATACATGTGTAGTTATGCAAAATACTTCCATAGTAGTCATGTTGTGGAAAACTAACTATATTTCCCTTCATCCTATCCTGCCCTCCTGTTTATTCTATTCTTTCCTTTGACCCTGTCATACCTCCTCAGAGGTATTTGCTTCTGATTAACTCCTCCCCCCCACTCTCTTATCCCTTACCCTCCTATTTTCCTGTAGGGTAAGATAGATTTCCATACCCAATTGAGTGTGTATATTATTCTCTCCTTAAGCCAAATCCAATGAGAGTAAGATTCACTCATTCCCTCTCACCATCCCCCACTTCCCCTCCACTGTAAAAGCTTTTTCTTGTTGTTTTTTTTTATGTGAGATAATTTATCCCATTCTACCTCTCCCTTTCTCGTTCTCCCAGTATAATCCTCTCTCACACTTTAATTTTATTGTTTAGATATCACCCTTCATCTTCAACTCACCCTGTACCTTCTATCTATCTATCTATGCATGTTTTTTCCCTCCAGCTACCCTAATGCTGAGAAAAGTCTCATGAGTTACAAGTATCATCTTTCCATGTAGGAATGTAAACAGTTCAGTTTTAATATATCCCTTATGATTTCTCCTTCCTGTTTCCTTTTTTTTTTTTTTTTGGTTAGGCAATAGGGTTAAGTGACTCACCCAGGTCACACAGAGCTAGTAAGTGTCAAATGTCTGAGGCAAGATTTGAACTTAGCTCCTCCTGACTCCAGGGCCAGTGCTGTATCCACTGTGCCACCTAGCTGCCCCCTTGTTTGCCTTTTCATGCTTCTCTTGAGTCTTGTATTTGAAAGTCAAATTTTTATTCAGCTCGGGTCTTTTCATCAAGAATGCTTGAAAGTCCTCCATTTCATTGAATGTCCATTTTTTCCCCTGAAGGATTATACTCAGTTTTGCTATGTAGGTGATTCTTGGTTATAATCCTAGCTCCTTTGACCTCCAGAATATCATATTCCAAGCCATCTGGTCCCTTAATGTAGAAACTGCTAAATCTTGTGTTATCCTGGTTGTGTTTCCAAAATACTTGAATTGTATCTTTCTGGCTGCTTGCAATATTTTCTCCTTGACTTGGGAACTCTGGAAATTGGCTATAATATTCCTAGGAGTTTTCCTTTTGGGATCTCTTTTAGGAGGTATTAGTGGATTCTTTCAATTTCTATTTTATCCTCTGGTTCTAGAATATTGGGGCAGTTTAAGCTTTTTTTTTTTTTATCATGGCTTTCAGGTAGTCCAATAATTTTTAAATTATCTCTCCTGGATCTATTTTCCAGGTCAGTTGTTTGTTTTTCCAGTGAGATATTTCATAGTCTTCTATTTTTTCCATTCTTTTGACTTTGTTTTACAATGTCTTGATTTCTCATTAAGTCACTAGCTTCCAATTGCTCCATTCTAATTTTTAAGGAAGTATTTTCTTTAGTGAGCTTTTGGACTTCCTCTTCCATCTGGCCAATTCTGCTTTTTAAGGCATTCTTCTTCTCATTGGCTTTTTGGACTTCTTTTGCTATTTGGTCTAGTCTATTTTTTAAGGTATTGTTCTCTTCAGTATTTTTTTGGGTCTCCTTTAGCAAGCTGTTGACTTGTTCTTCATGATTTTCTTGTATCACTCTCATTTCTCTTCCCATTTTTCCTCTACTTCTCTTACTTTTTAAAATCCTTTTTGAGCTCTTCCATGGCCTGGGACTGACTCATATTTTTCTTGGAGGCTTTGGATGCAGGAGTTTTGGCTTTGTTGTCTTATGGTTGTACGTTTTGGTCTTCTTTGTCACCAAAGTAAGATTCTGTGGTCTGACTTTTTTTGCCCTGTTTAATCATTTTCCCAGCCAATTACTTGAGTTTTAAACTCTGTGTGAAGGTAGGGGTCTAGGAACCTGTAAATTTTCAGTTCTTCCAAGGTGCTATGATCAAGGGTGAGGTGTTTACTCCTTTCCTGGCTTGGGCTCTGGTCTATGAGTGACCACAAGCACTCTTTTCTGTCTTGGAACTGTGAGGAGAATTCCCTCTCCACCACCACCACAAGCTCTACCACACCAGCACTCCTCCTTACCCCAGGACCGCCACCCAGAACTGTGACTCAGATCCAAGCCAGGGCAAAGCAAGAGAATGCTGCCTCAATACCAGCAAGGAGATCCCTGCAATCTACCTCTCATTAGCCGCTGTCTGAAGGCTGAGAGCTCCTGAAGCAGCCACTGCTCCAGGACTGTGCTAGGACTGGGGCCAGGTCAAGCTCCTCTGTCACCGTGGGACAGACCTTTCTTACTGACCTTCTAAGTTGTCTTTGGTGTTTGTGTGTTGAGAAGTCTGGAAACCACCACAGCTGCCCATGATTCAGTCCCCTGAGGTGTACTCCGGGTTCACTGAGGCCTGTTCTTTGCCTACACGTACACTCTGAACTGTGCTCCTCTCCCATCCCAGTGCAACAGATCTTTCCAGTCAACCATCCAGGTTGTCTTGGGCTGGAAATTTGTTTCCCTCTATCTTTTTGTGGGTTCTACTGCTGTAGAATTTATTTAGAGCCATTTTTTATGGGTATTTGAAGGAGTTTGGGGGAGAGCTCAAGCAAGTCACTGCTTTTACTCCACCATCTTGGCTGTGCTCCATTCTGATTTTTAAGGAATTATTTTCTTCAGTGAGCTTTTGGACCTCCTTTTCCATTTGGCCATTTCTGCTTTTTAAGGCATTCTTCTCCTCATTGACTTTTTTGATCTCCTTTGCCATTTGACCTGGTCTGTTTTTTAAGGAGTTATTTTCCTCAGTATTTTTTGTGTCTGATTTACCAAACTGTTGACTCATTTTTCATGATTTTCTTGTATCCGTCTCATTTCTCTTCCCAGTTTTTCCTCTGCCTCTCTTACTTGATTTTCAAAATCTTTTTTGAGCTCTTCCATGTCCTGAAACCTATTTATATTTTTCTTGGAGGCTTTGGATGTAGGAGCTTTGACTTTGTTGTTCTTTTGAGTGTGTGTTTTGATTTTCCTTGTCACCATAATAACTTTATATAGTCAAGAGTTTTTTTCTGTTTGCTCATTTTCCTAGCCTATTGCTTGACTTTTAATTGTTTGTCAAAGCAGGGCTCTGCTTCCAGGGTAGAGGGCATACTGTCCTAAGCTTTAGGGGTTTTGTGTAGCTGTTTTCAGATATATTTTCAGGGAGACCTGTAAGTTTTCATAAATTCCCAGTCCAAAACAACGTGGCAGGTCAACAGGAAAGGTGTGTTGCTCCAAGGTGAGAGAGGAACGTAGTTCAGATCAAGCCATGCCATGTCCTAGCAAACCCAGAACAGGTCTCAGACCAACTGAATCACTGGCAGCAGTGGCAGTTTCCAAATGTCTCAGTCCACAGACACAAACACAACTTAGAAGGTCTGTTGCGCCTGGGTGAGATTGAACAGTGTAGGTTGTGCTAGCACAGCCCCAGCCCCAGGAAACCGGGAGCAGGCCTGGGAAGTGACTGCATCAGCAGTGGCAGTGGCTGCTTCCGAAGCTCTCAGCCCACAGATGGTAAGGGAGTCAAATAACTGGTCAGGAGGAGATTACAGAAGTCTCACTGAGGCGAGGCTGTTGCTTTGCCCATATGTGCATAGGGTCATAGTCCTGGGTGGCAGTCCCAGGGTGAGGAGGAACACTAGCATAGCGAGCTTGCAGCCACAGTGGAGGGGGGACCCTTCTCAGAGTTCCAGGGCAGAGAAGTGTGCTTGTGGTCACTCACAGACCAGAGCACAGGCCAGAAGAGCGGTAAATACTTCTCCCATGGTAGAAGATTTAATGACTAGTCACTAGCCTTATAACAGTTACAGTTTTGGAGATGGTGGAATATACTAATGTTTCAGACAGTTTATATGATACAGTTACTGTTTTTTCTTCATCCTGTATGTCCTGGCTTCTACTTTACATTTTCTCAACTGTTCACAGGATAACATAAAACCTGTTCAATATCTTCATTGTATCAGTGGATATCCTGCAAACCACATTCCTCGTTGAGGGTCCTATCCCACTGTTGTGTACCTGTGTCCCAGAAGCTAAAGAATCATATTCGATCACAAGTACCTTAGCAATTCACAATGTTAATTAATTTTACATTTGAATGGTACTTTGATGTATAACAGCAGTCAGGGATCATACGTAGATCCAGAGCTATAAGAGATCTCAGAGACCATCTAATTAATGAGCATGAGCATATTTTAGGCCAGAAAGATCTAGTTTGAATAGGGTTTGAAGTGATTGCTAAAGTGAAATCCTAGCAGAGATAGGAGAAGATGGGAACAAAAGTGCAAGTGGAAGACTTATTATTTGCTGTGAGTAGGGAGACTTTTTCCTCTCAGAAAGGACTAGAGGAGACTATAGTGGGTGGTTACACTGGTTATACTGAGAGGCTTTGAAGGGATTACTAATTTCTATATTCAACATAAGGCATTTGGCCATGTCATTTGCTAAGTATGGAGGTGCAGGTGACAGTTTGAGGAGAGAGGAAAATGTTTGAGGAGAGAGAAAAAAGAACACTATAGGAAATATTCTTTAGGTTTTGCACTTAAGTTATTTAATATGATAAGTTATATATGCATTTGATTATTTTTCTCTGATAGCAAACACATGCTTATTTTTAATGAAACAAATCTATGTATTTGGTTTTTGTGGAAGTTTTTTAAAATTAAAACTTTTTTAAAAAATTAATTTTTTCCCTCAAATGGAGATCCTCTTCTGCCTTCCTTTTCCCTTTACACCCCTCCCTTTGGCACCCAGCTTGAGAAAGCACGAAAAACAAAAACCTCAGCTACAAACATGTAAAGACAAGCAAAGCAAATTCCTGGATTAGGAACGTCCAAAAAATATGTCTTGGTCTAAACTCTGAGTCCATCACCTCTCTTTTAGGAGGTGGGCAGTATATTTTATCATGAGTCATTTGACATTATGGATGGTCATTGTGTTGATCGGAGTTCCTGACTTTCAAAATTGATTGCTGTTACAATAGTGTTGTCATGGTACACATTTTTCTCCTGGTTCCTTTCACTTCATTTTATGCCAGGTTATATATACAAGTCTTTCCAGTTTTCTCTGAAACCTTCCCCTTCATCGTAAAAATGTGTTGTTTGTATTTTTTAAAATAAGCAAGTCAAGTAAGAAACAAACATTAGGAATTTGTCAAGAAAAGCACTCTTCTTTTTATGTGTTCTTCTTTCTATCATGGATTCTTTTTCAACCTGATTCTAATTTTAATTATAAGTTTGACTTGTACAAGTGACATTTAATGAGAACACTAAAAAACAAGTGGTTCTTACTGCATGTTAGTGTTGAAAATGTGTATATTTTTAAAATTTTCAATGTATTCATAGTTTACTCAATCTAGTTGAACATTATTTATTTATGATTTTTCATAGCAATTAATTTGCAACTATTGAATGCTATTTTTTTGGGAATAGGATGTGATGGTTGCTGGTGGAATGGAAAGCATGTCAAATGTTCCATATGTAATGAGCAGAGGAGCAACTCCTTATGGAGGATTAAAACTTGAAGATTTAATTGTGAAAGATGGACTAACTGATGTCTACAATAAAATTCATATGGTAAATGTTATTATGTATTTACTATGTAGTATAAAATATGAATGATTTGTAGTATATGTGTTGAAGTATTTACCTATTTCGTAAGATGTATGGTAAATATGAATTTTAGGAGAAGTAGTTTTCATGTATATGTAGTTTAAATTTGATGCTGTTTTTTTGATCTAGAAAGAACAAATATTCATACAAGTACATTCAACAAAAACTTAATTACTACAAAATTTTTACCTTATTAAATATTTGAAATATTTAATTTGTCAGTGTTATTCCAACCCCATGATCATTTTTAAAGTATCTACCTATGTAATGAAAATAATAAAAGCAATAACCAACATTTATTTAAAGCATACTATATGCCAGGCACCGTGCTAAGTGCTTTACAAATATCTCCTTTGATTGTCACAATAGCCCTGTGAGGTAGGTGCTATTATTTACATATTTTACTGGTGGGAAAATTGAGGCAGAGTTTAAGAGACTTGCCCAGGGATACACAGTAAGTGTCTGAGACTGGATTTGAATTTAGGTCTTCCTGGCTCCAGGTCTGGTGCTCTGTCCACTCTGCCACCTAACTGCCCCTAGAATAGGTACAATCTACAGGATTTGGCAGGATGTAATAGTGGATGAGAGATTGAGGAGTTGAAGATTGCATCTAGGTGTTAGCCTGGTTGGTTGGCAGGATAGTTGTATTTTTGAATAGTAATAGAGAAGTTTGATAGAGGGGAGCATTTTGGGAGAAAGCGGTTAGGGCTGGATAGATAAGTGGATCTGAGAATCATATGAGAATCTATGTAGGGATGATAATTGAATCCATGGGAGTTGATGAAATCATCAAAAGAAATAGGATAGAGTTAGAAGAGAATAGAGCCCAGAACAGAGGCCTGAGGCACACCAATGGTAAATGGGCATGACCTGGATGCAGAATTCAGCAAAGGAGAGACAGGAGTAATCAGATAGAGTCAGAACACTAGGAGAGAGCAGTGTCATGAAAACCTGGAGAGGAGAACATTAAGAGAAGGGTGATCAACGGTGTCAAAGGTTGCAGAGAGATTGAGGAGAATGAGGATTGAGGAAAGGCAATTCATTGGATTTGGTGATAACTTGTAACTTTGGAGAGAGCATTTTTTTAGTTGAATGATGAGATCAGAAGCCAGACTGCAGAGAGTTAAAAAAGTGAGAGGAAAGGAAGTGGAGGAACCAACTGTAGGTGGATGGCCTTTTTACAAAGAATTTAGCCATGAAAGAGGAGTGGTGGTGGATAGGTCAAATGAGGATGAGGGAGAATAGGAACATTTGTTAGGTAGTAGGGCAGCAAGGAGAGATTGAAGATTAGTGAAAGAGTGAGGATGATGAAAGGGACCGCTGAAGAAGATGGAACGGAACGGGATCGTTTGTGCATGTAGAGGGCTTTGCTTTGGCAAGGAGAAAGAAAGAGCTCTGTCTTCATGAGACGATGGTGAAGGAAGAGACAGTGCTAGAGGGCAGTGGACATGAAGGGAGGAGGAGGGGTGAAGTTGGAGCTTTTGGGGAATAGTCTCAGTTTTTTTCAGTGAAACATGTAGCAAGGTTCTCAGCTGAGAGTGTGTGTATGTGGAGGAGATGGAGTCATAGGGGTAGTTTTGAGGAGGGATGGAAAGGTTCAGAAAAGCTCCTGTGGAAAGCCATGGCAGTGAAAGAATGTAAATTTCAGAGAAAAGCAAGCCTGCAAATTTGGCTCAAACATAGAGTTGTGAAGGGGAGTAATGTGAAATAAAACTTGGAAAGGAAGGCTGGAACCATATTGTAAAGGGCTTAACCCTTCTACAAGCTTTCTATGATGTAGATGGTCTTCAGGACTTGACAGTGTCTTAAAATTTCATCATGCTCTGGCTGATGATGTTAAAAATGTCTAGGTTTATTGAATTGTTTTAAAGTGGGCCCTGAGTGACTAATTTATGTAGTTTAATTGAAAGCATATTTTTGAGCAGCTAAAAATGTAAATTAATTGTTGTCAGATGTTCTTCAAAGTATATACTAAAATAAATCTTTGTTTCTACTTTTTTTATTATTAGGGTAACTGTGCTGAGAATACAGCCAAGAAACTTAACATTTCACGAGAAGAACAAGATGCTTATGCCATAAGTTCTTACACCAAAAGTAAAGCATCTTGGGAAGCTGGAGTATTTACAGATGAAATTATTCCTGTTACAGTTTCACAAAAAGGTAGAAGCATAATATACTTAAACATAGTTCAGAGGCAGTGTGATATAGTTGTTGGACTTGAAGTTAGGAAGAACTTGGTTCAAATCTTGCCTCTAACACTTGGTGGTTTAGTGACTGTGAGCAACAAACTTCATCTTTCAAAGCCTCAAGCAACTCTCAAAGATGGGTTTTCAATGGTACCTCTTTAAGACAGGGACTTTACTTTTCTGTGTCATGGATCCCTTTGTCAGTCTGGTAAACTGTAGGGGACTTCTTCCCAAAATAATGTTTTTAAGGGCATAAAAAATACAAAGGATTACCAAGGAAATTGTTGTATCAAAATGAAGATATAACTTTTTTCCCTAACCAATTTCATAGATCCCCTGAAATTTGCCCACCAGTAGACTTCAGGTTTAACAGATGTTTTATAAATACATTTAAGATGTTTTATAGATAGATTGTGATCTGTTACATCACTTATTGACTTAAGTATTGATTTACATGTTAGAACTTTTCTTTGTAATGGGATAAAATATTGATGTTTGATTGGTTGTGTTTTTGGCTTTTTGTTTGTTTTTTAGTTACACTCTCATGCCAGTAGAGAACAGATTTTCCTGTATTCCCAACAAGCAGTCAGAGTCTACAGTTCAGAGATTCTTGTTAGATTCTTACCCTCTTTAAGTATGATACAGTGAAGGGTTTTTTTTTGTAAATAAATTTATTTATTTTTAGTTTTCAGCATTTACTTCCACAAGATTTTGAGTTCCAAATTTTCACACTGAAGTTTTTCACTTTGAATCTAAGTGGAAGTCAGCTATAATGAAGTTCTTTTTCTTTAAACTAATTAATCTAAGCCCTTAGTTGGATATTATTTTAGTGTAACAGATTACAAGTAACAAGTTCGGGTTTAAGGTATATAGGCTTATAAGGAAAAGTATTGTATATTTGTATATTAAGTTGCTCATGAAACAGATTTCTGATTCAAACATACTATATTAGAATGTGTATTTGTTCATGGTTATTTTCTAACCTTATAGTTTTTATCTTTTAGGTAAATCAGACATAGTGGTAAAAGAAGATGAAGAATACAAACGTGTTGATTTTAGCAAAGTCCCAAAGCTGAAGACAGTTTTCCAAAAAGAAAATGGTTAGTTTTAAAAATTTAGCATTTTATTTCATGGAGTTTTTTCTTTATTTTTGAATCAAATTTAATAATACAAGGGGTAGGTTGGTGGCATAGTGGATAGAACACCAGCCCTGGAGTCAGGAAGACCTGAGTTCAAATTCATCCTAAGACACTTGACACTTACTAGCTGTGTGACCCTGGGCAAATCACTTAATGTCACCAGAAAAATGTAATAGTACCTAATGGTGAATCTATCATAATGATGGCATAGAGAATCACACATAATCTCACCAGGACTAGAGAGTCAAGTAATATGGAAAAATGCAAAAGGATGTTTGTGTTCTGACTCCTTTGGTATAAGGGAATCCCTCCTGGGAAGACATAAGGTTTTCCTGTTGACCTTTGCTTTCTACAACTGGGCTCACAGTGTCATACTCCCCCAATAAGTCCTTGTATGGGTACCCATTTTATGTCTAAGGAAAAGCCCATGACAGCCAGAGATGTCAGGGAAAACAACACTTCATGAGTTTGGATGTTGAGAATAACATGTAAAATAATGAGGGTGCAAAGCTTTATTGTAAGCAGAGGGAAGGGCAGAAAAGGAATAGAAAGGAGGGGACCCATTATGCAACTCAGGCATACACTAACATAGAGTATAACTCATGTAAGGGCAGTGCTGCATTGGGGAGTAAAGAGACACAGGTCCATTCAACAGGAGGGGGTGCTACAGCAGGAAGATGTGCTCCTGCTGGAGAGGTCTGTTTCTGCTGGAGGGGAGGGGATACTTCAGTGCACCCTTTTGAGGGTGAAGTTCTTATACTCTGATTTTGTGTGGCCTCTTTGAAGCTGGCCAATTTGCATATCAGGGGTCAGGGCAAAATATTATTTAGGGGGAGTTTGTTATCAGAGACAAAAAACAATCCAGTGATAGACAAAATATTCTCTCTCTCCTTTCATCCTGTCCCTCCTCAGATATGTTTTGCTTCTGACTGCCTCCTTCCCTTCCCTTCTATCACTCCCCTTTTCTTATCCTCTTCCCCTTCACTTTCTTATAGTGTAAGATAGCTTTTTATATGCAATTGAGTGTGTATGTTATTCTTAACTCTTTGAGCCAGTTCTGATGAGAGTCAGGTTTGTGTTCCCTGTTACTTCCGCCATCTTCCCCTCCACTGGAAAAGCCCTTTCTTGCTTTTTCATGTGAGATAATTGATCCCATTCTACCTCTCCCTTTCTCTTTCTCCCAGTCTGTCCTTTTTCTTACTCCTTAATTTTATTTTTTTTAAATGTCATCTCATATTCAACTCACACCTGTGCCCCTCTGTCTATATATACTCCTCCTAACTGCCCTAATAGTGAGAAAGTTCTTATGAGTTACAAGAATCATCTTCTCTTGTAGGAATATAAACAGTTTAGTCCCTGATGATTTCCCTTTCCTGTTTGCCTTTGTATGCTTCTCTTGAGTCTTGTATTTGAAAGTCATATTTTCTATTTAGCTCTGGTCTTTTCATAAGGAATGCTTGAAAGTCTTCCTATTTCATTGAATACTCATTTTTTTCTCCTGAAGGATAATACTCAGTTTTGCTGGGTGGGTGATTCTTGGTTATAATTCTAGCTCCTTTGCCCTCTAGAATATCATATTCCAAGCCCTCTAATCTTTTAAGGTAGAAGATACTAAATCTTGTGTTAGCCTGATTGTGGCTTCACATACTTGAATTGTTTCTTTCTGGCTGCTTACAATATTTTCTCTTTGACCTGAGAGCTCTAGAATTTGGCTACAATATTCCTGGGAATTTTTATTTTAAGATCTCTTTTAGGAGGTGAGTGGTGGATTCTTTCAATTTCTATTTCACCCTCTGGTTCTAGGATATCAAGGCAGTTTTCCTTGATAATTTTTTTTTTTTTTAGGCAATTGGGGTTAAGTGACTTGCCCAGAGTCACACAGCTAGTAAGTGTCAAGTGTTTGGTCTGAGATCGGATTTCAACTCAGGTCCTCCTGACTTCAGGGCCGGTGCTCTATCTACTGTACAACCTAGCTGTCCTGATAATTTCTTGAAATACTATATCTAGGCTCTTTTTATTTCTAGGAAGTCTAATAATTTTTCAATTATCATTCCTGGATCTGTTTTCCAGGTCAGTTGTTTTTCCAATGAGATATATTTCACGTTGTCTTCTATTTTTTAAAACATTATTTTTATCGTTTCTTGTTTTTTCATAGTCATTAGTGTATACTTGCTCCATTCTAATTTTTAAGAAATTATTTTCTTCAGTGAGCTTTTGTATCTTCTTTTCCATTTGGCTAATTCTACTTTTTAAGGCGTTCTCTTCAGTGAATTTTGTGTATCTTTTACCATTTGTCCTAGTCTGTTTTTTAAGGTGTTATTTTCTTCAATTTTTTTTTTTTGTGTCTCCTTTACCAAGCTGTTCAGTCTTTTTTCATGATTTTCTTGCATCTCTCTCATTTCTCTTCCCAATTTTTCCTCTTCCTCTCTTGATTTTTTATAATTCTTTTTGAGCTCTTCTATGGCCTGAGACCAATGCATATTTTTCTTAGAGGCTTTGGATGTGTAGGAATTTTGACTTTGTTGTTCTTCTGAGTGTGTGTTTTGATCTTCCTTATTATCCCCGTAGTAACTTTCTATGGTCAGATTTTTCTTCTGTTGTCTGCTCATTTTTCCAGCCTATACATGACTTTTAACTCTTTGCTAAAGTAGGGCTGTGCTTCCAGGGTGGAGGGTACACTGTTCCAAGCTTTAGGGGTTTGGGGCAGCAGTTTTCAGAGATACTTCTAGGTACCTGTAAGTTTTCAATTCTTCCAAGGTGGTATGATCTAAGGACAGGTGTTAACTACTCTCCTGGCCTGTGCTCTGGTCTGTGAGTGACCTTAAGCACTCTTTTCTGCCCTGGACCTGTGAGGAGGGTCCCTGCTCCACTGTTGCCACGAACTCTGGTGTGCTAGTATTCATCATCACCCTGGGACGGCCATCCACAACTGCACCCCAGATCCAAGTATGGGCAAAGCAACAGAGTCCCGCCCCCAGTGCCAGCAAAGAGACTCCTGTAATAATCTGACCAGTTGTTTGACACACACCCCCTCACTGTTTTTTTGGGCTTCGAGCTCCAGAAGCAGTTGCTGCTGCTGCTGCTGCTGATTCAGTTGCTTCCAAAGCATGCTTCTGGTTTGCTGTGGCCTGGGCTGTGCTGGACTGAACTCCATTCTTACCCTGGTATGACAGATCTTTCTTGCCAACTCTCTTAAGTTATCTTGGGTTGGAAAATTATTTCACCTTATCCTTTTGTGGGTTACAGAATTTATTTTGGGGCATTATTTAAAGCTGTTCAGAGGGATTTCAGGGAGAGCTCAGGCTAGTCCCTGCCTTTTCTCTGCCATCTTAGCTCTGCCCTTCTGTTTTAAAATTTGAAGTTCATTTTCCTTACCTGAATTATTCTAGAAGTATTATTCTGCCTTCAAACTCAAATTTATGGTTGACATCTATTGATAATATATTAACATTTCTATGGCATTTAGTTTTAAAATAACCTAATCTGAGGAAAAGGATTAGTACTGCTTTTTTAACATCTGTTTTGTAGCTGTGGTTTCAGTAGCAGAAAGTGAAATGCTTTCCTAGTAATTTGAATACTAGTAATTTGAATTTGCTTTTTTTTATGCCATTTTAGAGAAATTCAGTGTCCAGGAATTTGTTCACTTTATTTTTTTTATCTCACCATCACATTTGGTTTCATCAGTTTGTCATGAAGGGGGTTCAAAAATACCCCAAAATTAATCCTTTGGGGCAGCTAGGTGGTACAATGGATAGAACACTGGAGTCAGGAGGACCTGGGTTCAAATATGGCCTCAGACACATGACACTTAAGCTGTGTGACCTTGGGCAAATCACTTAACATTCCCTCACCAAAAAGCAAAAAAAAAAAAAAAATCTTTTGACAGCAGCACATTCATGGTTTCAATTTCATTTGTCTCTGATGTAGTTTTGGGTATTCAGTTTTGGTGCTCCCTCCACCACTGCAGTTTGTAATCCCTTTAGTATACACTTGCGGATAGTTTTTTTTAAATTAATATGCATTTATTTTTTCATTTCCCTCCATTGGAAAAAAAAAAGGAGGAAAATCCTTGTGACAAACATATGCATAGTCAAGCAAAAGTAAATTCCACATTGGTCATGTACAAAAATATGTTTTATTCTTCATCTTGTATCCATCACCATTCTGTCGGGAGCTGGGTAGCATTACTTCGTCATCAGTTCTCTGGAATCACTGTTGACTATTGCATTCCTCTAAATTCTTAAGTCTTTCAAAGTCGGCCTTTTAGTGTTGTTAATACATAAAAAAAATTCTCCTAGTTCTGCTCATTTCACTCTGCATCACTTCATATGAGTTTTCCCAGGTTTGTCTGAAACCAATCCTTCTCATTATATCTAATGAGTAGACAGTCTTCATGAGTTGTTGTGGCTAGAAATATCATGTTGTGGCCATCCTTCTGGTCATGAGTCCTTTGATGATAGATACAGTTTATTGCCTGGCCTATAACCAAGAACTTTCTAAGTTAGTCGTACATTGGAGGGGTACCTATATTCCCTGGCACTTAGCCTTTGAGAATCTAGGGTCACTTCCATGCCTCAGTGAGGCATCAGAGCAGGACTTGTCAACAGGCAATTGCAATTTCACAAAATTTATGTGAAAACTATGTTTATAACACAAGGAATGAACATGCATGTGGAACCCAAAGAGTTCACAATCCATACAGAAGTTTGCATATTTATGACAGTACAATAAAGGGAGGAAACACAAATCTCCACTTAAAGGGGCATGGTGTGGGAGGGGGGAAGGTGCAAAAGTGGGAAAAGGACAAAACCCCTCTCAAGGGAGAGGAGCAAAGCGATGACAAAAGCCACTTTCTTTTCCCTTGGGAACTGCTAGACCATGAAGATAAGATGGTCTGCTTATCTGCGAGAGTCCCAGCTGCACAAGCATTTCTCAGTCCAGTGCAGACTGACCAACACCTGTCTTGACTGCCAAGGACACACAGGGTGTCCAGTCTGGGATGCAAACAACAAATTTTGTCAGCTCAAGGCAGGGCTTCATCCTTGACACATTCAGGGGCTCCTGCATACTCCAGTATGCAGGTTTGTGTTTGTGGAAATTATGGCAACTCAAAAAGACAAGTTCAGCAGACCTCTTAATATTCCTTAACAGACTTTAGAACAGGAACTTAAGATGCTTGCTTTATGTATTCTGTCATACATTGTACTGTGTTCTTTGACTTTGTGTGCCTTGTCACTTTCAGGTACAGTGACAGCTGCCAACGCCAGCACACTGAATGATGGAGCAGCTGCTGTGGTTCTGATGACAGCAGATGCAGCCAAGAGGCTCAATGTCAAGCCACTGGCAAGAATAGCAGGTAAGAAACTTTATGTAGAGTTTAAGCTAACTTAACGTTACGTTGAATTCATTGCAGAGAGATCAGGATAGAAAGTAGACATATTGTTTTGGCATATCTGTGCAAAAGGGTTGCTTTCTTGGCACTTTCCCAGCTACATACTAGCTTTGCTCTTTTCTTCCAGTCCCCTTGTTCAGAAAAGCTACAGAATTCAGTTCTGAGCCCATCTCTGAAATTATTTTGCTTTGTTTTCTTGAGTAAGCCATTTTATCTCCTTCAAGTCTCTAGGAATTATCCCCCTTTGTTTAATCTAGCTTGAAGATATTGATGGTTCAGGTAGCATTTTGTGCTTCATCTTCTTGAAGTTCAACTTTAGACTTAGAACATTCAAAATCATAATTTTGCCATACTATCTTTCAACTTGGACACTTAACATTGACTTCATATGTAATATTTTGTACTCTTTTGCACCAAGTAGAAATAAGCTTTAAAAATTTGATATGAACTTGACTTAGTCTTTTGTATAAGATTTTTAACTTTACCTGTAATATCTTTTGATTTTTAGTCCAGATGACACATCTAGTGACTTACTTTTCTAAATATTAGAATATAGTGAGTTATAATATTTACTTTTCTAAATAATCACAATTCAGAGCAGTATGCTGACATATATTTTATGAAAGGTTGACTCTTGTGAACCATTGATGGTAGTTATTGGATATATTATCCATTCCAGTGGGAAAAAATTTATATTCAATGATAGAAGATGTAGTATTTTTAAACCTTTTTCTCTGATTTTTATAGCATTTGCAGATGCTGCTGTAGCACCTATTGATTTTCCAATTGCACCTGCTTATGCTGTACCCAAGGTAAGAGCATGGGATAATGAATACTATACTTGAATAAGAGTGGTAGTTATGCTTTCGGTTAATTATATTGCTACCTTAGGATTTGATACCTTTGTACAAATACATTTCTACTTTAATGCCTTTTAATGTCTTGCTAAATTATGTAGCAGTGACCCATTACAATATGTGTTCCTTAATTTGCCTAGTGTCTCTTTGTTCTGGCCTTTTTTTAATTTCACATATGCACACATATATGAAATATATTACAACACCTCAATTTCTTCACCCATAAAGTAGCAACCAGTTTTTTCTTTTTAATCCCTATAAATTTTAAAAGTAAAAAAAAAAAAACTGAATTCTGCCTTTTATTTAGACTATACCCTTGAGAACTATTAGTTTTTTTGCAGAGAGATTTGTTTCTGTTATCATAGGGATACCATTGTATATTAATTCTTGTAAGTCAGTTGTCTTCATTGAAAGGCATTATGAAGAACACAAAAAGAGGAGTTTTAAGACCATTAGTCTTAAAGTAGTTTAAAAGTACAGGTGTTGCCACAAGCTGTGTGACCTTGGGCAAATTGCTTTGCTTTTGTACTCTGTTTCTTAAAATATAAAATTGGGTTAATAGCACTTGTGTGGATTAAGTGAGGTAATATGCCTGTAAGTTCTTCATAAAATGTAAAGTGCTATATAAATGGAAGGCATTATTATTTACTTTATAGATTATGATCTTTTATATCTACAGATCTTAAAATCAGTTATTATTAATTATCTTGAAAATTTTAATTTCAAGTTCATTTCACTCCTCTTCCCAGCTTTTTTGTTTATTTTTTTGGCTGTTGCCTTCCACCTTCAGGTAGTATATACCTAGGGAATGAAAATGAGTTTGAATGTTAGCTTAAGCCATATATCACCAGGCAGCTCAAACCTTTTGCCTAAAGGTTAGCACAGTGTATTCAAAATAGTAAGATGGTGGGAGAGTTATTCAGTGATAGAAAAAATGAGGAAGAAAGGCCAGATGGGTTAGTTTCTTGGCCCAAAATCATACACCTAGTACGAGTTGGGATTTGAATTCATGCTCTCTCACACTAAATTCAAGATAGATAAGAACTCAGTAAGGAAATTATTTTACAGGATCCCTAACTTCGTTGATAAGGATCTTTATTTCGCTGAAATGAAAAGATCATATACTTACCGTATTACTTAGTACATGGTCTTTTTAGGTTGCTTTGGCCAAAAAAATTAACTCTGTAGTTCACCTGGTGATGAACTTCTACAAACTTAGTAGAGGGGCAGGTAGATGGCACAGTGGGATAGAGCACTGGCCCTGGAGTCAGAAGGACCTGAGTTCAAATTCAGCCTCCGACATTTTACTAGCTGTGTAACTTTGGGCAAGTTGCTTAACCCTGATTACCTAAAAACAAAACAAAACAAAAAAGAAAGAAAATGAAGGACAAACTTATGTAGAGCTGGTTTTTATCCAACAAACATGTAGTTGTATATATGCATATTTGAAAGGATGAAAAAAGGAATTGCGTAGCAGAAAATAGAATAATAATAGGAAGTCCATTGTGAGGTTGCTACTTGAATCATTTATAGCTTGGGAAGGTCCTGCCAAAGCTTGTATCTTAGAGAGTGATGTAGTTAAGTAGGACTTGTAGTGGGGGAAGATGATCCCCTTTCAAAAATAAATCCCACACACATTTATTTACATGGGCTTCTGACATGGTTTTCCTCTAGACTGTTTTTGTTTTATGCCTCTTGAAAAGTTGTATGAATGACTCCAGGCATTTCTTAATATTCATGCAATTTTTCCACCTTTAATTTGGAACTATTTTCTAACTACCTTTCAATATATTCTCAGCTCTCCAGTGACTTGAGTTTTCTGGACTGCAAAATTATTTCAGCCTTTGCTGGTACACTGTGTTAGGACTAGTTATGGGACACCTGCTTTAATGCCAGCAATTTTCTTTCATCTTTTGGAGCCAAGGAATAGAATGTCTTCAGTTTTGCTTGGGCAAAGAACGAAAAGACTCCTTTGGGTTGTAAATCCATAGAAATAATCAGAGTAAATTTTGGTTTCATTACAATTCTAGGAACTAAAATTATGATTTCTCTTTTGATAATTATCACGTTCTAAGCCATCACTTAGCAAGTTGCAGACTGTTAAAACTTTTTTTTAAATTTGACTGGTGATTTTATTGGGATAGGGACCTTTTAGTGAGCAACCACTTTTCCCGATGTAGTTTGGCACCTGGGTCTGTATAGTATTAGAGTATTAGAGTATTGCTTGGAGCACTGATACATTAAATGACTCGTTCATGGTCACACAACCATTATGTGTCAGAGGCCACACTTGAACCCTCCCAGTGTTTGTGAAGCTGAGGGAAGCTTTATGGACTATGCCATACTGCCTCTCAAAATTATTTTAATAAAGACAAATTAGGGCAAAATATGCCTATTTAAAACTCAAAGTTCAAGTATGAATGCATAAATTAACATCTTATGGCTTGCCAAATCATTTGAATTTATGATAATTTGTTTTCAGGTTCTTAAAAATTCAGGATTGAAAAAAGACGATATTGCAATATGGGAAGTAAATGAAGCTTTTAGTTTAGTTGTATTAGCAAATATGAAAATGTTGGATATTGATCCCAAAAAAGTGAACATAGATGGAGGCGCTATTTCTTTGGGACACCCACTTGGGTAGGTGAAATTATCGTATAGAATACATTCTTTTGTATTTGCTTTGTCTTGGTTAGTTTCTTTGTTTCAGTGTTTCTAAGATTGTATGCTAACCACTTGACAAGTTAAAATGCTTAAGCTGACAAAATTTAGGTGGATTTATATATTTGTCATTCCTTCTTTGTTAGTGGAGTCGAGAATATTTGCTATCAAGAATAATGACTGAATAATGAGGATTTTGCTTCCAGAAAAGTATGGAATGCCTAAATAAAATAAATAATGGTTGTCTTTGTGCCATTGCCAAGTAATTATTATGTATGTTCAAAGTAAAGTAGAAGTTGGTCTTTCTTGTAAAAGGAAAGGCAGAAGGGCTTGAGGAACAACTCTTTACTGTTTAGGTTATTAGGGAGAATTAAATGTTGTTTGGAAAGAAAAAAAAAACCAAGAAATGCTTCAAGCTATATAAAAACATGACACTAAGGAATCAAAAGGAAAGTCATTCCCCAACTGATAAATGGTCAAAGGATATGAACAGGCAGTTTTCAGATGAAGAAATTAAAGCTAGTCATATGAAAAAATGCTCTAAATCACTATTGATTAGAGAAATGCACATCAAAACAACACTGAGGTACCATATCACACCTTTCAGGTTGGCTAACATGACAAAACAGAAAAATGATAAATGTCGGAGAAGATGTGGGGAAAATTGGAACACTAATGCATTGCTGGTGAAGTTGTGAAATGATCCAACCATTTTGGAGAGCAATTTAGAACTATGCCCACAGGGCATACCCTTTGACCCAGCAATAGCATTTCTAGGTCTGTATCGCAAAGAGATCCTACAAATGGGAAAAGGACCCACATGTACAAAAATATTTAAAACTGCTCTTTCTGTGGTGGCAAAGAACTGGAAATCCCCAATTGCCCATCAGTTGGGGAATGGCTAAACAAGTTGTGGTATATGAATGTTATGGAATAATATTGTGCTATAAGAAATGATGAACAGGTTGACTTAAGAAAAACCTGGAAAGACTTGTATGGACTGATACTGAGTGAAGTGAGCCGAACCAGGAGAACATTGTACACAGTACCAGCCATGTCGTGTGATGACTGACTTTGATAGACCAGGCTCTCCTCAGCAATGCAAGGATCTAAGACATCTCCAAAAGTCTCATGATGAAAAATGCTGTCCAAATCCAGAGAAAGAACTATGGAGTTTGAATGCAGATCGAAGCATACTAATTTGCTCTTCTTTTTTCTTTTGTTGTGTTTCTTCTTTCTTGTGGTTCCTCCTATTGGTTCCAGTTTTTCTTTACAATATGACTAGCATGAAAATATGTTTAATAGGAAGGTACATGTAGAGCGTATATCAGATTGTATGCCATCTTGGGAAGGGACGTGGGGAGGGAGAAATTTTTAAAACTCAAAAGCTTATGGAAATGATTGAAAAATAAAAATAAATTAATTTTAAAAATCCTAATCTAACTCAAGAAGTTGTAGGTTTGGAAGAATTTTGTCCACAACTCAAAAACAAATCCTAGCATAGACTACAAAGGAGGAAAGAAAGGACCACTGAACATTAGACCTAAGTATTAGGGAGGGATCTGGAATATCTGAGAAGGAAGCAGCTGCTTATACTTTGAAAAATGATTGTGTATATCCAGAGGTTGCATCAGAGGAGAGGCCATTCAAAAGTAAAGGAGTAAAGGAAGAAGGGATAAGTAGTGCTAGTTGGTGACTCTCTGTGAGGGAGAAGTGCTTATCTAATGTTAATAATAGGGGAGTCTTCTCTCTTACCATTACATACATCCAGGATGTGACTAAGATTCACTTAAATACTTGTTAAACGTGAGTGACTACTACCTGCTTCCAGTGACTCATTTTAGGAAAAATGATAGTAAGAAAGAACTTAGAAAATATTTCTAAGAATGGTGAAGTAATCAATTTAACAAACATTCATTAATTCTCTATTATGAATAAGGCACTGTGTTTGTTATTGGGGTTACAAAGACAAAAATCCAATCCTTAGCTCCCTTCAAAGCACAATTCTGGTGCCACTTTCTACATTATGCCTTCCCTGAATCTTTTAGTACTCTTTCTCTTCTCAGGTTACTTTGTATTTACTCCTTGTTTATTCACTTGTATTTTATTTTCACCTCCACCCCAGAATGTTTTATATCAACCAGCATAGTGATCATATTTTACTTGTTTTGATCCATCTTTTGCTTTTTTACATCACCAAAATTTCTCAGTATCTTTCCCCCATTTTCTCTAAGCAAGCCACCCTGTGTAACAAATAGTATTTTTTAAAGCCAAAAAGAAAGAAAAAACCCAGAAAATATATGCAGTGTACATTTGTAGACCTCCCACTTCTGCAAAAGGGTGTGGTGGGAGTATCTTCTCATACATTTTTTTTCTAGTCATGCTTGTTCTTTATAATTTTGCAACACTCACTTTTGACTTTTTTGGTGGCTAACTACAATTATTTTTGGCTCTTCATCAGTTCATACAGTTCTTTCCATTTTTCTCTGTATTCATCACATTCATAATTCAGCATAGTAATATTCTATTTCTGTACCACAATTTGTTTAGCCTTTTCTGAATTGATGAGCATCTACTTTGTTTCTGATTCTTTGCTATGATAAAAAATTCTTCCATATTTCATTGCATGTGGGGACCTTATTCTTTCTTATGGTCTCCTTGAGGCATAAGCCTAGTAGTAGAATTTCTGGGCCAAGGGATATGGCTTTTTCAGTCACTTTATTTGCAAAGGATTCTTGTTCAGGAATGGGGTTCGTTTAGATGGTCTCTGAGGTTCTGTTGGTAGAAAAATGGAATTACTTTCCTTTATACTTTGAAACTGTTCTTGTATTCAACACATTTTTAGACTCAGCTTTCCCCTCCTTTGTAGGCAATACAAAAAATACTAGAGATATTTTATTCAGATACGTAGACACTTACCTGTCACTTCCTCAAATAGCTTTTGTACCTTAGACAATTCTAAAATATGTGAATTATGGATATTAATATGTGAAATTAGAACTAAACTTTTTGCTTTAGAAATGTAATCCTATATATGATGAAAACTTGTTTTTTTCCTTTTAAATTTTAGGATGTCTGGAGCAAGAATTGTTGTTCATATGGTCCATACCTTGAAGCGAGGAGAGTATGGTATTGCAGGAATTTGCAATGGAGGAGGTGGTGCTTCTGCAATACTAATCGAGAAGTTATAGAATGATGGAGCAAGTACCCTCACCTGTATTTGTGATTAGAAGAGATCAACCAGTTAGTTAATAGTTTAAGGGTATGAAAAGGGACTTTCTGGATGCTGCACAGCATCTATATATGTATAGCATAAATAAATAGTTTTCTTGTCATCAGATTTGGTAATCTCAAGACATTTTTAGCTAAAAAAGGGCTCTCTCTAAAGCCTTTTCAGTTTCTAAGAAGATGATGATCTTGGGCATGATTGTTGAATTGAAAAGTATTCAACTTTAAAATAGATTAATACTTTTTAAAATTCTGCAGTACCACAGTGGTGGGAACATGGATGAGTGTCTTCCAAAAAGCCCTGAGTTTCTTTTTGATAAAAAATGGATGTGAACTGATCTTTAGGTTTTTTCTTAACTTTTCACTATGTGACATATATATGGTCAAGCAATTAATATAATTATTAGTCCTCATCACTGATATGCCTTCTGTAATTAATTTGATTAGAAATTAAATATTTTTCAAGAAATTGGACCAGAGTCAACAATATTTGATTAAAGTTGATAGTGAATTTAACCTACAATTTAATTTCCTTTGAGATCTAGCTCTGTATTAAATAGTATTTTTAAAGTCTTCTCTAAGCCAAACCTAGGGGCAGCTAGAGCACCGACCCCAGAGTCAGGAAGACCCGAGTTCAAATTTGTCCTCAGACACTTACTAGCTGTATGACCCTGGGCAAGTCACTTAACTCTGCCTCAGTTTCCTCATTTGTCAAATGAGCTGTAGAAGCAAATGGCAAAACCTCCAGTGTCTTTGTTAAGAAAATCCCAAATGGGGCAGCTAGGTGGTGCAGTGGATAAAGCAAGTTCAAATGTGACCTTAGACACTTGACGCTTACTAGCTGTGTGACCCTGGGCAAGTCACTTAACCCTGATTGCTTCAGGCCCCCCCAAAAAAATCTCAAATGGGGCTATGAAGAGTTGGACAAGACTGAACAAGAACAAAGGCAGACATGGACTGGAGTATCTTTAGTTGTTCCTTTGGCCTCTCATGCACTGGCCGCAATCCTAATGTCTCTAGTTTGTAGCCATGATTTTTTATATACATTTCCAAGTATATACATACTCTAGTGGCTTTAACACTAAACAGATGCTTTAGTTCTTATATGCAGTTAATAAATAGCCTTGCACATTTAAAATTCAGTAGGTCTGAGAAGATTTATGGTGGTCATTTGTCTTCACAGGTGGTATGCAGCAGGTATGTATAGTCCTCATAAACTAAGCCAGTGTTTCCCAAATAGTACACTGTTTGTGGAGTACTGGCACTAAAGACTTCTTACCAAATATCCTTATCTAAAAACTGATTCCTTTTCCTTGCCTACTTCTAAGCTGATCAAAGCCACCAGGGTAGAGATTTGGGAAAGTTAGGAACTTTTGCCAGTTAGAAATAGAGTTCTGATTTGCAAACAGCAGTCTGGATTCTACAACATTCAGAAGACTGCTGGTAAAATAAGCTACAAGGCATAACAGAATGTACACAGCACTACTTGGCCATGAGGCTATTGTATGAAATGGTAAGAGGAAGTTAGAATAAAGAGTATAATACGGAGGGTCCCAAAAGTTTTAGTGCAACTTAAAAAAGTACAAGATTTTTGGGACATCCTGTGTTCTCAACTCTAAGGCATTCTATAAACTGACCCTGCCAATCAACTTGTGATGCTTAAAACCAGGCCATGAGCTTCGTCTCTACCATAAAGTCTGTTGCTTCCAGATAGAACAATAAAAGCATATGTTCAGAAGAAACCAGTTGTCAATAAATAATAGTCAAACTTGAAATTAACCAAAATATTTATTCAAACCTAACAGTAATGCAGTATCAAGTAATGGAGCTTATAAAACAGTAACTGCATAATATTTAGTTCCCCAGGAGTCTTCATATTACCACTGCCACATCAAACAAATTTTTTACAACACTAAAGTCTGAAGTAAAATTTAAACATGACAAAGCAATTAGTGCCAATGAAATAAATTCAGCAAATGGTTACCAGATAGCGAATGGATTTTATGGCTCAGTATAGAATATAGCTGAAGAAAGTTGCATTATGTTAATATTGGACAACCCTGTAGGGGCAAAAAATCTATATGGTTTAAGTCGAACCACAACAGGAAGCACTTTAGAGAATGCACTTTTTACATCAGTAATATCCAGGCACAATAGGTTAAATGCTTAATTAAGATTTTGTTCTCTGGTAAAGGTTTAAATTGACTCTTAAACTTGACAGGTTGTATTACAAACAAGGAAGATAGCTCTCTAATGCTTTCTCTATATAGCTAGGAAGGTATGGAGACAATACATCATTGAAATGACTTGTGGATATCTACCCATGTATACACCTAGTGCTGAAACAATTTAAGGAAAAAGAAAAAAAAACAGTATAATAGTTACTTTACTAGTTATCTGTAGGTCTTGGAAAGTATTATCTAAATGGATGTGATTCTATAAGATAAATGCTAAGAAATAAATCTCAACACACAAGTTCTCAATATTGGATATAAGATTTAAATAAATGAAATTTGGCCACTAGATTGAAGACTTTTCTGAATTAGTGCAATTTTTAAAAAGCCCCAGTATTTTTTTTGGGGGGGGGGAGGGAAGATATATACATTTCTGGGAAATTTCAACTACAAAAGCAAACTTTATATGGCTCAATAGTCTAACCATTTAAGGTTTTGTAAAAATCCTTACACACAACAGATCAAAACACTTATTAAATATCTTATAAAATTCTCCCCAACTAAGAGACCAGAATGATACCCATAAGGGATATTTAAAGCTCTTATTTCTCCTTTTTTTTAATTACTTAAAAAAATAATCAGGAATATAACCTTTACCGTGATAAGGAGGAGTAGAGAAACACTTAAAAAAAACATAATCAAATTCTTATTCTAAGGCCTTACCTTTAATCTGTTTAATGGCTAAGTCTTAGAAATGTCTGGTTAAGACTGACTATAAACAATCACTTTTTTAAAAAGAATTTAAATGAAACTATTCTAAAGGACAAATCTGTTGAAATGGGAATTGACTGGTAATTAAACAAAAAACAAAACCAGGCTTTTCAGAACATTTAGTTAACTGAAATTCAATTTCAATACAATTTACACAGTATTTACAATATGCAATTGTTGTAGCTGTACAGTTCTGCAGATTAATGGCTTTACACTTCTGCAAGTGCTTTTTCCAAATAAAAATATACCAAATCCAGTCTATTTACAAACTAGCAAGCTGCTTTAGAAACAGCTATAAAGTGTGACTTCAGTGCACTGAAAGTGCAGTTCATGCTCTCAGATTCTGTTATTTTTCCTACTTAGAGTAAGATGGACACCAATCTTAAATTGCTAATGTTCTTAATAATTTAGAGTTCTTATTCGTCATAATGCAAAGACAACAAAAACTTGTCCACGTCCATTCCAGCAGGAAATGAATTAGGTAGCTTCTTTTTCTGTTGAGAGAAGAAAAATAGTATTATGTCAACATCCGATTCACTTTAAACACAATTAATTAATCTCAGTCTTTCTCTTCAGTGTCCTATATTTGCTTTTTCCAAATGTCAGAAAAATGCTAAATTACTTTAAAATAAGTAGTTTTGTAGTTATATAAAAATAAATACAAGTTTTTAATTATTTTATATAAAAATTTCATACAGTAATAAATGTATATAATTTTTTGAATTCTAAATGAACTCATTCTAATGATAATAATCATTAGCTATGTGACTTCTGCAAGTTCAGTTTCTTTGACTGTAAAATGGGGATTATATTCCCTGTATTACCTAATTATCTCAAAGGGTGTTTGTGAGGAAAGCACTTTGTAAGAATTACATCAGTCACTGCTACTTTCTCTATATCATTAGGAATGATTCCCCTGTGTGTGTATTATAAACACTCCAGATCTGAATTTTAAAAATTGCAGGAAAGTATTTCTCACAGAGCATTTTTTAAAAGTTGTTTTTATCACTGGTGCTGAACTATTTAATTTAGAAAAATTAGAAATAAAATAATAAATAAAAAATAAAATTGGAAATACCATCTGTGTACCTCCTTTCTAACACAAAGGCTAAAATAAAGTTTTTGATAAATGGATTTTTTGAAAGTAACGTAACACTATTATGACCTTTTTTGGGCAAAACTTTTTGCTAGCAAAATGGAATTTAGTAAGTATAAGAATTTATATGGACAGCATGCAATAAGTTATCAATTGGATAAATGAACAAATGGATATGGAAATCAAGATTTTAAGGTGCCAGAAAACTTAAGTCTCAATCCTATTTCTACCTACAGTAACATATTTGATGAAGGTAGAAGGTATTATGTGCATTTAACATGTACTTATTAATAAGATAATGATCAGTCAGATTAATGGACATCAGCAAGCAATGGAAAACTATTTAATTTGAGCCTCAAAGAAAACGAGCAATAAACTTTTAAAAACCTTTCATACTTGCCTTAATTTTCTTCTTTTTTATTGGCACTGTTGAATTTGGAAGATTTTTATTGGAAGAACGGGCAGTTCGGTCACGCTCATCCAAATCTTCTAGTTTCCTTTTTTTTGTGGCACTCCTTGAAGACCTAAATTGCTGTGTATTATCTTTGAGAGGTTTTGAAGTAGTCCTTGAGATAGCAGCTCGTGAAAGAATCATTAAAGTATGGGCTGCCATATTCACACTATTTTCACTCCCTGTTTCACTGGCAGGGCTACAGGCTGGTAAATCTGGAGTGGCAAGAGGGACCATTCCTTTGGGAGTGCCACTCTCATCACTGTAACGTTTACTGGTGGGAGTCTGGATGCTGTCACAGGGTTCTTCTCTATGTTTCTCCGCAGTTCCTGATCCTGGTGTCCGAGGCACAGGTAAATCCCCAGTACTGAGAAGTCTGTTTGTTGGGCTGTGCCAGTGAAGGTCATGTAATTTTTCCACACTGTTTTTAGTTAGAGGGCTGGTAGATTTATTGGTCTGTTCTCGTTTTAGCTCCTTTGAAGCTGTCCCTGTTGAAACAGTGTTTTTACTGTTAGAAGATGGCCCCTGTTTTTTGGTCAGTTCTTGAACGGAGACAGTAGTTTTCTCATTCCATAGAGGACCGTTCTGATGCCCATTTGACAATTTGATTGCTTCCTGATTCTTCTGCCTTTCCACATCCCTTTGTAGCTCATTCTCCTTATTAGCTGTTGCTTTATGAAAAGAATCAAGAACCAGGCCAGCCAGTGAAGTCTTTTTTTCAGGTTGGGTTTCTTTTATAGCTGTATTTCTACTGCTAGCAGTTTCCGACTGTGATAAAATCTTAGGCCCAGAAGGTTTTTCTCTCTCTTTTTTGACATTGAAAGAGGATTTTACAATGGAAGATGACACAGTGGGAGGGTCCATGGTAACAAAGGGAATGTCATTCCTTTCTTTGTTTTGAGACACTGTTTTGGTGTTAGACCCCTGGATGCTGACTCCAGGAGAAGTATCAAAGCAGAGCACACGCCTGTGATTTT